GGATAGGAAAAAATTTGTTGAAGAAATAAAAGATACAGAGGAAATGAAAAAGAAAATTTTTATTTTCAACGAAAAAATTAATATAAAGCTTGAGAAGTTAAGGAAGGACCAAAGAAAACTAATCTTAGTTGAAAAGATAGATGAAGAGAAGAACATTATTGATAGAATCATCCTAGAAAGAGAATTGGATAAAATATATTCTGAGATAAAAACTCTTCAAAGTAAATTTATTGAAGTGGAGGATAATAAACAAAATTCTCTGTTGGAAAAAAGAATACAACTAAAACAATTAAAAGAAGAAAAAATTAAACTATTGGAAGAATTAAAGAGGGAAAATTGTTATGAAATGAGTGAAAATGTTTTAAATTTAGAAATAGAAGAATTGAAGATCAAACAAAGAGAAGAAAATGAGAGCAAAAAGAAATTTGAACATTTAATAAATGAAGAGAGAGAAATGAAGGAATACGAGACAAAAGAAGAAGAAAAAATACAAAAATATACAAAAGAATTGGAGGAAATTAAATTAAGCATTTTAGCTAAAGAAATGGAGAATTCATTTTTAAAAAACAACTTAAATATTTCATTTTTTACGCAAGAGGAAAAGAATGAGGTTCAGAAAGAAATTAAAGAAATTCAGAATAAACTAGGAAATGAAAATGAAAGCACTGAAGTTTTCTGTGAGAAGAAATATGTTAGTTTATTAAATGAAAGAAAAAGGGCATGGGTGGATGAGAATAATTTAGAAAACAAATTAAAAAGGTTTGAAAATGAAATGAGGAAGATCGAACAATCCATTCTGCTTAACTATGGAATATCAGAGGAAATAATAAAGAATATCAAAGAGCACTCAGGTGTTTACGGCTGTATTTTTGAGTTAATTAATATTCCTGAAGAGCTGTATGCACCAGTTTCATCAGTCATTTCTAAAAATTTCTTCAACATTGTTGTAGAAAATGAAGACATAGCCACTGATTTATTTGGAGTAATAAAAAATAGGGTTACTTTTGTTGCATTAAATAGGGTTAAAGTGGAGGAAGAAAAAATGATTGATGATGAAAATATGATTCCTCTGTGGAAACAATTAGAGGCTGATGATAAATTTAAGGATTTACTTAAGCACATTACAAGAAATACTTATTTAGTATCAGATATAAAGTGTGCTTTACAACAGAAGAAAAAGTATAATGTTAATATTGTTACTTTAGAAGGAGAATTTATTTCTAAGAATGGAATTATAACTGGCGGCTATGAAGAAAAAAGAAATATTTTTATTGAATTTAAATATTTACAGAATGAAATACATAAATTAAAGAAGGAAAAGAATGAATTAACCAATAAATTGCTTTTCTAAATGAATCAATCAATTTAATGCAGCATAAAAAGAATGAATTAAGAAGCAAGGAGGATATTTTTGTAATTAAGGCTAAATTAATATTTTTACTTAGAAAAGCACAACTAATGAACAAAGGTTTTACAGAAAAAGAATTAAGAAACAATACATTTGATTTAGAAAATATTAAAATAAAAAAGAACAGGTTGGAAATGGAAACTGAGAATACTAAATTAAGGTTATTAGAATTAAAAAATAAATTAAAACAAATAGAAAATAAAATTTTAACTTATAAATCAAAAATAAACTCATTTGATTTAAAAATTAAATTAGAAGAAGTAGAAAATAAAATTAAAAAAATAAAAGAGGAAGAAAAATGTCTTATTTATGAAATAAATGATGAATCAACAGAAAATAACAAAAATAAAAAAATATCAAACTTAAAGAGTGTATTAATAGAAAAGAGAAATAAAATACTTGATAAGATATCAACACTCTCAGTTCAAAAGGAATATAAAAAATCAAAATACTTTGCAATGAATGAGTCAGAGATGGCAGAAGAAATGAGAAAGCTTTTACTTAAGAAAAATGAGTATAAAGCAGTTAATTACAAAGCTACTACTCAGCTAAAAGAGATGGAAATGCATCAGAATAATTTAACAACAAGAATGAATTGGATCTCTCTAAATCAGAGATTGAATCTTTTTTAGAGGAATTAGATAAAAAGAAAGAAAGTGTTATTGAGTCTACTTTTAAGGCAATAGTTGAGGGATTTAATTATTTTATTGATAAATTGAGTCCTAAATTTAAAATAGACTTAGTCAAGGAAAATGAATCAGTTTTTATTTACAACAGTGGAATTAAGGTTAATCCTTCATTATTCAGTGGAGGTCAGAGGACTGTTATTACTTTGTCTCTTATATTTGCTATACAAAGAATTGATCCTGCTCCTTTTTATTTATTTGATGAGATTGATGCTAATTTAGATTATGAATCAAGGCTTAGGTTATGTGATTTAATTAAGAATATTATTAATAATAATTCTATACAATTTATTTTTACTACATTTAATAAAGAATTACTAGAATGTGGTAATGAATTCTTTATGGTTAATTTTAAAGATAAAAGAAGTTTTATTAAGTCATGTACAAAAGAAGAAGCAAATTTATTGATTAGAGAATAAATTGATGATAATTCAAAGGAATTTACTAAAATGTTTATTTTATAATCTTTATAAATTATATTTAACCCTATTTTAAATTTAATTATGATTTAAAAATACTTTTATAATTACTTCATTAATAAATTAATATTTATTTTAATAATTATTAAAAATTTTTACCCTAATGGCTTCTGCAGCAATAACCAAAAACAAAACAATTGAAGTAACTCTAAACATCAAGAAACTTGCAAAAAATGCTTCATGGAGATATAAAGCATCTAGTGCTATTAAATGCATCAGAAAGTTCGTGCAGAAACAATTTAAATGTAAAGATGAGGTTCTTCTTGCTCCTGATGTTAACAAAAGAGTCTTCTGCAATGGAATGCACAATATTCCCAACAAAATAAGAATCAGAGTTGAAAGAGGGCCTTCTAATAAGGATCCTTTAAAAAATGTTTTTAAAGTTTCTTTGGTTAATGTTAACACATTTAAGGGATTAATTACACAGGCTATAGCTGAATAAATTTTATTTCAATTTTAATTTTTTAAATTTTATTTTTTTATAAAAATTAATATTTCACTCAAAAAAACGTCACCGACAGGATTTGAACCTGCGCGTGTAAACACACCAGATTTCTAATCTAGCACCTTAACCACTCGGTCACAGTGACATATGGGTATTACTAAATATCATAATAAAACAATAATTTCATTATTTTTTTTATCATAGCAATATAATCCCATGAAAGAACAAAAAATTCCAAGAAAAATAAAAAAGTTATATGAAAGGCAAAATAGATTTGAAGTAGAAAAAATAAAATCAAATTATCCAGAATACTTGACAATTGAAGACATAGACTCTCCTGACATAGAGCTTTTAACTAAATGTAAATCCGTTGATAATTCAATTCCTGTTCCATTTTTCTGGAAATATAAGAAGGTCAACCCAATTTATAAATTAAATGTACCTTTTATAGTCCCAAGCATAATCAAAGAAAAAGAATTTACACTTTCTTTGGATGAAATGATCAAAAATATTCCAAGAAAAAGAATAATTGGGTATGGTGAATTGACAAGAGAAGATTATTCTTTTAAAACACAACTAAAATCAATGAAACCAGGATATATGTCAATGGAGCTAATTTCTGCGTTAAATCTCAAAGAAGGTGTTAAATATCCTTGGTATGATAAAATAGAATATTTTGGAATACCAACTCATTTTAGTGATGCAAAATTAGATGATTTTATTGTTAAAATTTATTCAGATAATTAAATTTTAAATTAATTTTTTATTAAAAATTTTTACCCTTAATGAAAGAAAAGATAGAAGAGGAAACTAAAACGTATGAAATTGAATGCAGTGCTTTAGTCAGAGATAATTTACTAAGTGTAGAGGAATTTAAAGAATACTTAGAATCTAAAATTAAGATTAATGGTAAATGTGGACAATTGAAAGATAAAATTGATCTCACGTGTACATCAGAGTCTATTATTGTTTCTACTAAAGTTCCTGGCTTAAGGCTTCCTAAGAAAGGTCTTAAGTTCCTTGGTAACAAATTTTTATACAAGAAAGAATTAAAGGATTGGGTTAGAATCATTGCAGCTGGTAAGAAAGCATACAAATTAGCTTATTATAAAGTTGATGCTAACAAAGCTGAATAAATTAATAATTTTATTTTAAATTTAATATTTTTTATAATTTAATATTTTTTAATTTTATTAAAATTCTAGATATTTTACTATTTAAACAGTTAAATTTATTTTTGTTAATGTAAAATCCAATGTTACAATGTAAAAGAATTACACAATTCTTTTTATAAACAATGTATTGTGAATGAATAAATATGATTATTAGGATATAAAAAAATTCTTATTATCTATAAATATAATTTTTTACTCCATGACGAAATGCAGCAAAAAGAAAAAACCAGGAAGAAGTCTTTAAATAAAAGCTAGCTTAAGATAAGCATCTATCCCATCTGCTAGGAGATAAAAAATCTTTAAAGCATAGGAATTATGTATAAAATAATCTTTGTTTAAGGAGTAATTTAAAACAAGAACAATGCATCAAACATGAGCATAGAAAAAAAGGTTTTTATTGGTATAATTTTGAGATATATCTACTTTTAAAATATTTCCTATGTGAATTAATGTATTTAATAATATTTTTAATTCTTATACTTCAAGAAAGCTTTGCTATCTCAATGATTTTAGGTATATTCCTTCGTTTTGCATTTATTTAAGATAATTAAATCTTTACTCAATGAATTAGAAGAAAAAATCAATGAAAATAAACAATTTTATATTTAATTATTTAAAAGTGTAACTGTTTTCATTCTTGGCCTCGAAATGGCTCTTTGGTTATTTTTAATATTTTGTAAATTGAAATAGGATATTTTTCTGATGTACTCTTTGTTAAAATTTATGGATAAAGTTTATAAAGCATTTTTAAAATACAAATCATTAATATAGGAGTTTTTATTCCTGAGTCCTCTAAAGGATATACTTGTTTACTAAAACAAATAATAATTTATAATTTAAATTTTATTAATAAAAATAAATATTTAAAAAATAATTATACAACATTAATAATATTATTTATTTAAAAAGAGGAATAAAAATAATTAATAAAATATCAGAAATATTGTAATATGTAAAAAAAATATAATTAAATTAATTATAGTCTCTCCATTTCTTCAAGCATATTATCCATATTAAACCCATTAAACTTATAATTATTTCTCCAACAGCAATTAATAAACTCATCCATTGTGCTTTGCTCTAAAAAAACTAATTCCTCTAAATCATGAATATAATTACTCTTTTCAGTATCAATTAGATCTATAAATTTAATTATTAATCTTATCTTTAAAAGTAAAGGTATTTTTAAGTTATTAATCAATTTATAAGCATTTTTATCTGTTTCTATCTTAAGTAGGAGTATTAAATAATCTAAACAGGGGTCCATTTGGAAAGCATACTTAATTTCATTTTTAAATTCAAACAAATCATCATTCTTTATGAAATCAGATAAATTGATTTTTTTGTTAAGGATTAACTTAATAAAAATATTTTTATCATTCTTAATTAATTCTCTGACCTCATTGATTCTATTAATCTGTATATTCATTAAATAATTATTTATAAATTTCTCAGATGTATTATGAGAAAAAATATAATTCAAAGATTTAACATAATCAATTTTATCAGTAAAATATTTCTTATTGATTAATTCAAATGTCTTATGATTATTGATGCATTTATTAATTAATTCATCATCTTTTAAGTCTAAATATGTTTTTACTACCACCTTACGTATTAAAACATTATTGCTGTTTTTAATAAGATAAAATCTACCAATAATTTTAAGTATTCTTTTGATTTTTAATTTATCAAATTCTAAAAGTAAATTTGATAAATCCTTTTTATAGAACATGGAGGAGTAGAACATGAGCTCAGTAATAAATTCATTTTCATTTAAAGTAATATTATTAAAATCAAATTTAGGAATATTTAATGCACGCAGAAATGTTTCCTTCATAGATTCATTTAGGAAAAATAAGATTCTAGATAAAAAAACAGGTTGGATCTTTTTGATAGCTGTAAAATCGATTTCCTTTTTCCTAACTTTATTAAAAATATGTACCAAGAAATCTACAAAAATAATAAATAAATTTGTATGATTGATTTCTCTTGATAAAAATGAAACAATTTGCAAGTAAATTTCCTTATATGTAAATGTTTTTAGATATTTTTCAAAGGTTTTTTTTATATCTTCATATTTAGTTAATTCACTTTCAAAGAAAAAAAATTCATTAGGATACTCCTCCAATATACTCAAAAATACATCATTATTTTGTAGCTTAGTTAGTTTTAATTTACCTGAGACACTATTATACAAATTAATTTCATTTACTGTTAAATTATCAGTATTAATCTTTAGATCTTTGACAAAAGGCAGAGCGAGTATTTTAATTGCAATGCTGGCATCAGGAAGTGGTAAATTATACTTTTTAGCTAAATAGTATTTTAGTATGAAATGAAAATGATTTGTTATTTTTAAGTGAAAAGAATCTGCTAAATATGGTGGTATTAGCATTAATACAACTATAACATCTTCAATTTTATTTATTGGATGATTTTGTAGTGGTTCAATGATTTCTGATTGAAAATTAGTTAAATCAGTGGAAAGTATTTCATCTCTAAATACTAATAAATTTTTGTAATCAAATGGAGATTGTAATAATGACTTTAACCTATTTATCAATGATATTCTTTTCTTTAATGGTACTTTTTTCATTTCATATTCACATTTTAATTCAGAAAGTATTCTATCAAATTCCATGGATCATAATAAATTTATTTTTAAAACGAATAAAAAATATTTAAATTTATTTTATTTATTTTTAGAATTATTTAATGTTTAAGTTTTTAAATTTAATGATAAAAAATGGATTGATTTATTTTTATAAAGTAATTTAAAATATAATTTATTTAACGTTAAGTTTTTAAATTTAATAATAAAAAATATTTCAGAAATATTAGAACATTATATTTTACAAATCATTCAAGTAAGTTATGATTATTTGCAAGAGTTGAAAGTTTGTTGATATCACAACATATATTCTTATCAATATTAAAAATATTTATCATTGTAAAAATTAAAAAAAATGTTAACCTAATTTAAGGATTAAATGCATCGATTAAAAAGCAAAAAATCTCTGAAATCTTCTTTATGGTCCGTAAAAAACAATTTTTATCTACAAAAGAAAAAAAATCTTCCTAGAAGTATATGCACGTCAATATGGTCATTTGTGAAAGGAAATTTTTCCACGTTTCCTTTGACAATAGTACTAGAAACATTAATTTTGATTATATTTTGTAGAAACGTTACTTTGATTTTAAATCATAGGATATATTTTGTTACCACAATTCTTTTATCTATATTTTCTTATATTTTCCATAAGCTATCTATTTCATTTAAAGTTTTTCACAGTCT